TTTGATTTTTGTACTTGATTTATATGTTGATCCCACATTTCTCCTATTATTATTATTATTTTTATTTTTAATAAAATGCTGAAGTGGTAGGTAGATGCAAGATAAAGGTAGAAAACATAGTTTAGTGCTGTAAGAGGGCAAATGTAGATGATCAGATGATCAGGTGTGTGCCTATGGACCAAGTTTTAATCCAGGCTAGACAAGGGCAGCAAGACATCCACGGATGCAGAAGATTTCTCTCAAAGCAGGGGGGGTGAGGTTCTGAGCCTCACCTCTGTTGATCCCCAAATTCTCACCTGATGGCCCCCCTGCGACTGTGCCTGTCTTAGGTTGTTCCTCCCTTGAGGAATCTTACCCGTCTCTGGCTAACCAGTCATCTTCCGGGGCCATACAGGGAAAAGGACATTCTTTGTTTTGACTCTGATTAGAACTAGAGTATCACCTAGACCCATGTTTGCCTCTTACAGTTGACAGCAAAGGCACCTTGCCAGCCACCAGAGGAAGACAGGCTGTTCTGTAGTTGTCACTGGCTGTGCATGTCCAAACTTGCTCCTGCAGGCAATGCATCTGTTAACTACCGTGCCACCTTAGTAAGGTAAATTACTTTGGTGGCCCCAAATATGACTGAATTTTAATTTTAATTTGGATTCTTAATTTTTGTCAACAAAGACAAGGTTTGCAACTATGACATAGCATTGAAACAGGGTCTTTGGGTATGTAAAGAAAGTCAGTTAATGACAGGAAGAGTTAGCAAACTTCTCACGTCACAGAATTTCCAAAGCTAGGAGAGTTATTCTAACTAACAGATATTTTACAAGTCTATTTCGTTGCACTGAACTACTCTCTGCCAAAACCCCTGGCCAACTTTGAAGAAGAGCTTTTAGACATCCAGCCATAAGTGATTCAATTAAGGGAAGAAGGAGGAACAAAACAGATTTTGACCAAATGAAGATACAAATAAAACACTAATATTCTTTGGTATGGTTTAGAATCACCCAGTCCCAGGAATTTGCAAGCAATTAACATCATGTGCACAAGTTAATAATGTCAGCTTGCTTCCACAATGCCAAGCAACATTGCCAGAGAATCTTTAGGCTCTAGAAACAAAAAGGATTTAGGCTAAAACTTTGAATGTGGTAACGAAAAAGAAAGAGTAAGTAATTGTATGGATACATGATTGCTATTTTCACTTAGTAGAAAGAGTATCAGCACAATTAATACAGTTTCTCTGCTCTGTCCCCACAAAACTGTTGTTCCTAAATTAACACAGTATCTTACAGTCAGTGGCATCTGAGTATACTAAAGATATTCAGTAATTCAAGACCTGATTAGACCAGTGATCCCCAACCTGGGTGCTCACTGGAATCATCTGGAGAGATTTTAAAAATTAGGGTCACCAGGCTTCACCAGAAACTCTAGGAGACAGACCCATGGATCCACATTTTCTTTACACATTCTCCTGATGATCAGCCAGGTTTGAGAATCAATAGTAGATTGCAACCAATTGGTTCCTTCCTGGTCTGAAGAATCAATGCACCACTCTTGCCACTAACATTACAAGGGAAAGATTTGGATGGTAAAGAAAATAGAAACCACGCATAGTCAATTTCCAACTTTCCACTTGATTTAGAGCTTTCTGATTACAATCCTAAACAATGTTTAGCAATAAGATAGGAGTTTGTTACTCGCTGACACTGTCTGTTCATGCCCTATTATTCATAGGTCTTATCTGAGAAGGATACATTTTTCCATGCTTTGTGAATTCAGTATTAGAAGAGATTTAAGAGCAATTTTCAAAGTGGCAACGTAGCATTACATTACCTTATCATAAGGAAAGGTCCCACTCCTGCCTTCTGAGCAGCATACCCTGTATGAAAAAAGGTAACAGTAACTGTAATTGGCATTCTCCTTATCACAAGAGACATAAAAACAAGTTCCATTCTTCCATGATTGCCTAGAAAATAGTAATTATATATTCAACCAATTGTTTGGGTAGTTAATTATCTTACTACATGCCATATACATGAGAAAAATCTACTTACTCATTTTTGTTTTACTTACTGCTCCTCCTTATTTTTTTCTTTTTAGATAAATTCTTGCAACTTCAGGGGGAAAATATGCTCCCAGCCCAGGACAAATAAACCTTTGAAGCCAAAATCAGTCAAAGGGAGAAATAAAGTGGGAGAAACCTGTGTATTGCTTACAATATTATTCTTTAGCACCAAACTCTGAGATGAGCACCATATAATATCCCCACCCCACCCCATCCCCATTTCATAGATAAGAAAACTAGGGTGCAGAGAGATAAAGGAATTTAACAGGGTCACAAGCTGTATGTGGTGAAAGAATGATTTGAACCCACCAGGTGTAATGCTTAGAGCCTAGATCTGTAGCCCTCCATGATATTTTAGATCTCATCTAAACTCCAACTATACTCTTTGTGCTTCTCCAAGGTATGAGTTTACATTCGAATCCTCAAGCAGAAAGCAAATGTCCCATGTCAACCATATCGCCCAAAGAAAGGGCTTAATAAATATCTGAGTGACCAACAGACCAAGTAAACACCTTGCTATTTTTAAGCCATGACAGTCAGTAATCAGGTTAAAAGTGAGATTCTGAAATAGTGAACCCCATCAATATTACATTGAACTCATTAAGAGCAAACCATCAGGGTAGAGAGGGAATAAAGCTGGCTCCTTGAAAACTTGACAAAAATTGTATGTGTGCATGTGTATGTGTGTGTTCACACATATTTATTGACACCCCGTTTGCTAAATAGATATAGATATAGGTAGGTGGTTAACAAACATGTAGGTTTGATCAAAACAAACTAGTTTACCTTTTCCAGGGCAATAAATCCCTCACACCTTTGGGGTTGACTTCTCTCCCAGGCTCTAAAATCCTAATGCTTTACCTGCTTCTGCAGGTTAAATGGTTACACCTCTATAGGGCTGTTAACCCTTCCCGCCTTTATCAGTTATTTATTGACCAAAAGTCACATCCTGCAGACTGTCAGCTGAGGAGCCGTGTAAACAATAGAAAGTCCTGCTGTTCCTAAGTAGAATGGGTAGAAAATAGGAGGAGGTATCCCAAACTGGAGAATTTTCCTGTTTCTAACTTAGGATTTTTTCGTTTTCAAACACTCAACCTGTTTTCGGGATGGAGACAGATCTGGCGGGCTTTGCTTTCGCCGCTCCTCTCCGCAATTTCCTGGGATGTAATTTGTTCTCGGCGGAGGAGGAGAGGCGCAAGGTCGGGCCTCGGCGCCGGGCGCGGCGGCAGAGCGAACCGGGACGACAGTCCGGGGGTCTCCCGGCGCGCCTCTTCGCCCCACCCCGCGGCCCCGGCGGCGCGCACGGGGGGGGCGGGGCGCGCACGGCCAGTCAGGCGGCGCGCGCGAGTGGGGGCGGGGCTCACGGCCGGTCGGCCGGGGGCGCGCAGGGCCGTGGCAGCTTCTCTCGGGAGGGGACTTCATGCGCGCGGCTTCCTTCTTCCGGCGCGCGGCCGCCCCATCCCAGGCCCGCAGGGGCGGCGCGCAGGCCTCCGGGCGGGGCGGGCCTCCCGCGGTCTTGGACGCCGGGACCCCATGCTCTTTGCCCACCCGCCCGCGAGGCCCTAGCCGAGCTTCGCCCTCGGAGCCGCGGCAGGGCCCGAAGACCCCGGCCAGCCCCGACTCCATGGAGGGTGAGCTCAGGGAAGGGCGGCTCACAAACCTCCGGGCCCGACCCCCACCCCATGCCGGGAAAAACTTGGTGAACTGCTTTCCCTGAGCGCAGCAGCCCTGGGTTTTGGCGACTTGAGGACCTCGGATTAATGGGAAGAACCTTCATCCCGTTAATCGTGCAGTGAGACGGTGTCCTTGCTGCGGGGTGCTGGATGGGTGGAATTACTGATAGTCGGTGATCTACAATTTACTTATTTCATCCTTGGCTAATAATTTGCATTTGTAATGGGGGTGCGGAAAGAGGAAGAAAATGTTTCGCTCCGGTGCGAGGCGCACGCCGAGAGAGGGCAGAGAAGGTACGTTGCAGCCTTTCCTAAGCGCACAATTAAGGACGCCTTCGGCGGCAGAGCGAGGGAGGGATGGTTGGGATGCGCGTTTCCTGCCAGTCAGGCTCCTGAGTGCACTCAGCCCTGGTTTTGACCATCTAGAAGCCTGTCAGAAGTTGGAGGTTGGGGCCTAAATTTCTTCACTTCTGACTGGGAAGATGAACCAGGTTTTCCAAAAGCAGCGTTGTTACGTTCCAAGTCCGCTATGGCAGGAAACGGCCGGGCAGTGAGGAGAAAGCAGCAATGCCAGGTTGTGGTAACTGGACGGGCGGGCTGTCGTTAAGGGGTCTCTGTCTGGAACATCCAGAGTCTGGCTTTGAGCCTTAAAGGATGGGTATTGGTCAGTTTTAACTGGCAGAATGAGAATAGTATTAGACATTCTTAAAATGAGGCAGCCCAGTTTAGCCCTGGCTTGCTAATCTCCAACACCTATTTATTCACTTTTTTTCAGTAACTGGGTTGAAAAGACAGAATGAGAGAAATCTTCTCCCTTTCCCCCATTATAATTGGGGCAGCATCTCTCCATCTTTGCCTTAGACCCTGAAAAACAGAATCTCAAAGATAGACTTGAGAGGAAAATTCTTTCCTTCCCTGGAATGAAAACTGGAGTGCTTGCCATGCTTGCCAAACTGACAAAGAAAGGAAAGAATTAACAAATGTCTTAGGCAATTTGCAGTTTATTCAGTTCCTTGTTCAAATGCTTGAGCTTATACAATAAAAAGGTGGGAGAGAGCCCGAAATAGAAGCAGGGGAGAGAAGTAAATGCAAGATACAGAGATTGCAGAAACCAAGAGATGCAGGAGTCCAGCTCCAGCCTAGGGGTGGAATGCCCGAAAGTGCAGGTCGGAGTTGGCGCACGGAGAGACAGGACACGGAGTCAGATGGAGGTGGTCTCTCGACAAAGTGCCGATGACAGCTTTATTTATACTATTTTGCACAAGGATATGATTATTTTTTATTATTTTGATGATTAACTGGAATACACAGTTGGTTAATAAGTATAGGCAAGCTTTTTTCTTTCTTTTACTTTCTAATCTATTCATGGTTGGTCAAGCGTTAGACAGGTGATTGTTTTTCTGTTCTTTGACCAAAACTTTTCTCATTAACATGTACTCTATTGTGTTTTACGTTTCTATGCAACACAGTTTCTAAGAAGTGCGTGTGACCACAGGAGCGTGCAGTATGTAGCAGCGACTATGGAGTCTATCAGCTCAGGGTGTAATACAGGTCACCTAGTGCTACAGTTAGCTAGGATTCTTTCCCACAAAAATATTCTTAAAAGCTTTAATAAATTTATAAGCAATCTAAAATCCTAAACTCACATTTTCACTTTATACTTCTTTATAGGGCACAGTAGGCAGCAAACTAAATTTCCCCTTCTTATCTACATTTTTCTTTCTTCTGTGTGGATACCAAAATCTCCTTGACATATGCTACACAGCTCTCCATGACTCCACTACTGCAGGGACTAAACAAGTTCTTACATGGTGAACAATGCAAGGGCATTCATATCATAGAAACTGTTTCTGTTTTAACTACAAACTTTAAACTATAAACAATCACGTCAAATATAATGTATGATTATTCATTTGATTTTTATATTTTATATGTGAATCTAATAAAATGTTAATGTAGTAGGTAAATGCAAGATATAGATAGAAAGCATGATTTAGAACTGTAAGAAGGCAGGTGAAGATGATCAGGTTTGTGCCAACAGACTAGGTCTTAATCCAAGCTGAACAAGGGCAACAGAACATCCACAGGTGTAGAAGATTTCTCTCAAAACTGGGGGGTGTGAGGTTCTAAGCCTCACCTCTGTTGGCCCCCTTTTTCTCACCTGATGGCCCCCTGTGACTGTGCCTGTCTTAGGTTGTTCCTCCCTTGAGGAATCTTACCCGTCTCTGGCTAACCAGTCATCTTACGGGGCCATACAGGGAGATGTAAAGCTGGTAAGTGAGAGAGAAGTAATATTCTTTGAAAAGGTTAGTTTTTCACTTCTTTGCAGATTTATGCTCTGTGACTTCTATGCCCAGCACTTGTTTTGAGGTATCTTTACTTCCTGGAAAATCATGGTGCTTGGTAATTTCACGTATGAGGCACAAATTCTAGTAAAGGGCTGTGATTAGGAAAGAAGAAAAACAAACTATAGAAGTAGTAGAGGGAAGAAAACATGAGATGATTAATTGTCAACAGGGTTATTCTATTCAATATTCTTTCATAACTTGATTTCTAGAAAACTTTCCATCACTAGTTTCACTAGCATAAACAAGGGGGGCGTTCTCAGTGGAAATGGGGTGGTCAATGTTTGACTAACAGCAGGTTTCAGTACTTTATGCCAAGATCGCCATTTGGCCCCTGCGTGTTCTATTCTTCAGGAGCACTGTCCTGAAAAGCTTTTGGAAAGTTTATGTTCTCATCTTTTCCGTGCTGCTTAGCAAAGGTTAGCTTAGTCTTTGGCAACAATGCAAGTAAAAACAAAGCCAACAGTATAATGGAAAATAACAAAATCAAGGTGGGTAATAGAGGTAGCCAACTGCGAAGACCCCTGATTTGTGGGGGTCTTCTTCCAGCCTGAGCTTTGCTACACAGCTTGAGTAGCATGGCTCCCAGCAAAGAGAGTCTGTTTTCTACTGATACAGGTATGGAAGAATCTAGATGTGAGTACAGAAAGTGTAATCTTTTGATCTACATAACATGAAAATGCTTTTAATTTTAACACTGAATTCTTCAGAGTAGAGGGAAGCATAGCTAGCTAGGCTGGGCTACATGCATCCCAGTCAGTTTGGACAGTATTGTGTGTTCAGTGAGTTATATGTTTATTTTGCCAGCTAACTCTATTAATAATCTGTAATCTCTAAATCCATGAGTTTGGCTTGTTTCCAGTAATTCCTTCATGATAGGACATTTGGCTAGAATTTGTCAGGGTGTTAAAACTTGAAGAAATGCAAAACCCAGAGAACATTTTGCATTGGAAGATGTGATCATTTCATAACGGGAAATCTTCTACCAAATTGAAACCTATGAAACAGGCATAATAGGATTTGACTAATTTTCCTACAAAACACTTCATTTTTCACACTGAGTTACAAGGAAGAGTCATTTAAACAAGTAACTCTTTTGGTACCTTTAGAATATTTATTCATTTACCAAGAAATCCTAATATAACCCACCTAAGAGACCTGTTGTACAAAATATGCTTAAATAATCAAAGTGGTTAGCTATTTCCCAATTACAAACCAAGGTGTGTTAAATAAGTCCATCCTATAACTTTCAGAGGTATTTATTGTCTTTTCAGTTATCCTGCACAGTGACAGGAGGAACCAAGAACTTTAGGCAAAGCAGCTACTGCAAGGAAATGTGGACCCCAGGCCTCAGAAGGTATGTGAAGGAGGGTGTGAGCTCACTGGTTATTTGAGTTCCATGTCATTTTGTAGGCTTACTGCCTGCTTTCTTACCCGTATGAAGATTTTAGGAAACTTCGAAGTGTTAGAAATGTTTTCTTAAGTATAACAACAGGAGCACCCTCTCAGGCTGGGCCTTAGGTGAGTTTAATACCTGCTAAGAGCAGTGCCTGACATGCAGCAAGTCCCACACAGGTATTTACTGTTCATTATTTTTACTCATGAGAACCCTACTTAACTGCAAATATGTTCTTCAGCTGGACAGAGTTAGGAGTGGGTTTTCATTCTGGTGATTAAGGATGATCAATCATTCTGAGATAGTAAATTGTAAACATGAAAGTCAAGTAGGCAAAGAACATTTCTGAACTTGGATCGGGAAAAACCCTTACTATGAATTTAAAAATCACAGTGACTGTAATGGGACTTTATATGTATTAGGAATTCATATGCAATATTTTATTTTATAAAGTTGTACTTTAATAATTGTACTGATTAGGGAATGCATTTTAGTTCAAAATCAAAAGGTATAAAAGGGCTGATTGTGGAATGCCCCCTGCCCAGCTGTCTACCTTCCTGTTCCCTGTTAGTCTTCCCAGGTTAACCAGTTCTGGTGCATTATCAGATTTTTTTTCTTGATGTTTCTTTTGGTGTCTGGATAGGTTTTGAATGAGTGTTTTAAAAACAGAACCCTGAACATGTGATCCTTTTCCCCGGGTGCATGTGCAATGGGGGTGGGACGATTCCAAACCCACCAGGACCCTTCCAGACGATTCCATCTAAGTAAAGGGCTGGCCATTGACAAGATTCTTCATCTGGGCCACTTCCTTGCCCCCCTGCTCCCTTTGCATGAGGGAAACTGGCCTCCTTGCTGCTTTTGGGATTCTGCTATGCAAGTTCTTGGCCCAGGAAGCTGCATCATTTTGACTCCATTCTGCCTTTTCTCAACATCAATCACCCCCTGCCCAGGACCCTTCTTTGTTATTAGACCTGGGACTTGGTGCCTACCTCTTGTGATTGTGTGTGTTTCTGGCTCTATTTATTTATGGCCTGTCTGCCTCTATTAGAACCAAACACCCTGAGAGCAGGGAGTGTGTGTTCCCCTGTCCCCAAGGGCCCAAATCCCAGAATGACAACTGGCCCAGAGTGGGCACTTGGTAAATATTGCTGAGTGAATGAATGGTATTTGGAATAAAGCTGTTTTAAATAGAGTTAAATGGGCATATTTTCCACAGAGCTTTTCAGAACTTTGAATAAGCAAGTTGCATAGCATAAGTAGAACAAGGCAGGTGGAGTTAAGCTCCTCGGTACAAAGTCAAGAAAGACTTTGTGCTTTTCGATGACAATTCAAACAGAAAAAGCCACTGGTAGGAATGTTATTGGCAGCCGAACTAAATGGATTTACAAGCATCTTCTTGATAATCAGGGGAGGGAGAATTTACACCCAAAGGTATTGATAGTACCAAACCCATTGTGAGTAATTACAGATATGTAAAATGTGTGCTTGCTTTTAGTTGAGAGAGAGAGAGAGAAGCAGATTCAGATTTTCTGTATGGTCTCACTTCCCTGATCCTCTTTCCCCGTAAGAGGGGAAACCACATTAGCCACCAGTTCTGACTGGGTTTTCAGAGTTCAACTCTCTGGCTTGGCCTCAGATTCTGCCATCATGAAGTGGAAATCCCATTTCCTCGCCAGACCCAAGAAGGCTCTGAAGGTGGATGCTGACTCTTGGGGGCTGGAGGGCTCTGCCCAGGCAGCACACCTGATACAGCAGGCCTAGAGTTCCCTCGGGTTTGCTATTAGCTGCAAGAGGCAACTGGGGAGTTGTCTTGGCTCCTTTAACAAAGGAGCATTAATTACAGAAAATGTCAGGCTTTTTAAAGGCTATTTGTTACCAGGCTGCAGGGACAGCAGTGACTCTTGGCAGGGCCGTGGAGAAAGGACTGTTGGTGTCAGGCCCCGTCTCTCTGCAGACAGAAATAGTGAGTCTTGAGGGTGTCATCCTTGGACAGGTGGCAAACCCCATGGGGAATTTTTATATTCAAGGAAACAGTGCAGACAGTGGGGCAGTCTTACCAGAGCTGGACTTAAAGGAATTTGGGATGCCTTTTTTTTTTATTAAAAAAAATTGGGGCAAGTAATTATGATTTGTCAATGTCAGGTCAAATACTAATTCTTTTTTCCAAAGGCCAAATAGTTAAACAATATCGAATCATGTTTGCTCCAGTAGGGAATAGCAACACATTGAAAGACAGCTTTGGTTATTTAAAACCCTTCTACATTCACTTGCAACTTGAGGAGCATTCATACTTTAGTGGACTAGATTGTAACACAGAGTAGGAAAAAGAAAAAAAAAACGAGTTTGGAGCTCAAGTCCCTCCTTTGCTATGTGCTGCAGTGAGTTTTCCAATTCCCGTTTTGCTGGGGAAAGCACGGTTAGATCAAATCAAACTGTCTGAAAAAGGCTGTCTGCATCTCTCATGTTTAAAAGAGAGGAGTTTTTTTCCCTTTCCTTCACACATCAAAGAGGGCATTCGGGGAGGAAGTAAATCATAATTAGGTAGGAGCGAGTAAGCAGACAGACCCCTTCCTCTGCCTTCCCCGTCTCCGCCTCCTAAGCCCTGGCAACCATCCTGGGCACTAGTTAGGGGCCGGGCACCGCAGCAGCTGCAGCGAGCGCGCGCCCGCCGCCAAGATGTGGATGGCGGCGGAGCCGGCCCGGAGATGCACTCGCTCGGGAGCACGCTCATATAGCGGTTTTCTTACGTCACAATCCAGAGGCTTCGGCGCGGGAGGGGCGGAGAGTCGGAGGAGGGAGCAGCGCGCTCTCATTGACCGCGGTCTCCCGCTATTGGTTGGTCGGCGAGGAGCGGGGTGTCCTTCGGTTCTGCGGTTCTGAGAGCGTTTCTCCAGCCACTCCAGAGGGCGGAGGAGGAGGAGGCTAGAGTGCAGCGGTGATTTTTGTGCCAGGGCTTTACAGAGGCGCACTGAAAAGGCTGGCGGGGCTCAAGAAACTGAGGGGTTAGGAACACACGTTCAAGACCCCTCCCCTCGGGGAGGGGTCGAGCCCTGCCTGTCGTTGGTAAGGGGCTGCGGGCCGGGAAGGCTCCGCGGGTCGAAGCGGTGTCATGCCCACTGGTGGCTGGAACATTTTGAGCATGGGGGCCGCTTTGAATCCTTAGCGTGGTATCTAACGTATTTAATTGATTTCCTCCTACTTTAGCGTTGACCAATTCCCTAGGCGTATTTTTGTGATAGTTCCTTTCCCAAATATCCGTAAAATGGAGAACGAGAGTTTTACGCCCCTTGTGGAAGCAGTTCATGACCAGCCCCTTGGTCACTTGGGTAAGTGGGGTGTTATTTATTATATTATTTTGCTGCATTATTTGTGGCTATAGAGATGGAGGTGGGCGTTCATATCGTGATGATCGTTCTGTTCCAGGTTAAAACGTTTGGACCTCTGGCTGAAGGAAATGGGACCGACCTGGATGAATATGTGGCTTTGGTGGATGGGGTATTCTTAAACCAGGTCATGTTCCAAAATGTAAGTGTCTTTTTCTTTTCTAGATAACTTGTTTTATTGAAAAATTGCATACTGTAAACTTAGAATTTATGTTTTAAGCTCCTGATTTGGTTCTTTGGCCAGAAAAATTCAAGTGGCTCAAGAATTGGACCTTGAAAGGAGCAATAGTCTTACATGCCCAGCCCATTTATCACACCCCAGTACTTAATACTTGTTAAAATTGTGAAGCTTAACTTTTTCATTCTGCAAAGCAAGTATTGTCATTTATTAAATTCAGTGCTGAAATCCAAACCACACTGTAACCACTTTGATTATTGGTAAAATGAGAGAAATGAGAATAGTTTCCTAAGGGGAAAAAAACCTTTACTGTGAAGTTTTGCATATTTGATGCAGAAATGTTTCTCATTAACCTCTGTGTCTAAAAGTAAATGGCTCAAATTTTGAAACTGGTGAAGTAATATAACACATTTTAGAAGAGAAAATTTCAAACAGTTCTGATTGATGAGGACTTTTGCTGCAGCAAATAATTTAAATGTGTAAAATGACCGAAGTCTGATTAGATGACCTATCATGTGATTTATTAGATTAATATTTGTGGGATTATTTTAAGGTACTCTTAGAGCTAATTTTGAAGTGCAGGTTACTGAAATCTTGATGACAACTAGATAATGATTTAGTAGGAAAATCTACTTTTATGCTTATGATATTGGGTTCATATTAAGTAGGAATGTGTTTTCGAGATGGTAATTGAATATCAAAATCATACTGGTAGCTGGACCAGTGAAATAAAACTCCATTTTATCATTTTAGGTAGTGTAGCATACATGCATTCTTAATACATCACTATAGGTTATCAAGGTGAATATTACAGTCATGTTCCAAATAACATGTATTTAGCTTTATTTCTTTTGAATAATACTGATAGCAAGAGTAGTGTAGAGCTTTCAATTTCAGGAGATTCTTATCTTTTATATATGTGGGAATTTAATGCATTGTTAATACTTAATTGTTACTAGAGAATAAGTCTAATAGACTACGACCCTAACAAAATATAAATTCTGTCTTTTATTGGAAATTCTTTTTTAAATTTCTTTATTTAAAAGTGGGTAGAAGTCAAATCCATAAATAATTATTTCAGAGGCAACTTCTCAGTCTGTGCTCAAAGAGATTTGTGTTATTTTTCATGTATGTGTCAATCCTACAAGGATGTCTTATACTACTATATGTTCTCCAAAAGTGTATAGGCAGCCAAAGAAATATATTCTTTGTCTAAATGTGTGTATATATTTTTTCTTAGAAAAAAGGAATGTGGACATTAATTATTTACGAGGATAGTGAATATTTTTTGGCACCTCTCCTACTGTAACTATTTTTTATCTTTGCAATATCCCGCTATTCCCTCAACAAAAATGATAGAATAATTTAATTGATTTCTGTTTTAGGTCATGCATTTCAGGAAGGGTAGCCATTACAGTAGATACTCAGATCTTGTTCCTCTATGTCTTTTATTTTTAGACAAAAAAGTTTTAATTTGTGTGCTGAACCCTAAAAAAGCAGATGTGTTTATGAAAACAGGAAAACAATTTTCCACTTTAATGTTTTTTATTTGAATGATTCTTTTTCCAAGAAATCTTTAGGTTTTTTTGAGTCCTGAATAGTTACGTAGGTGCTAAAAACTGACACTTTAGCTTGTTTCCACTTTGAGTACAGTTCTATTTTTTTTTTAAATGTATATGTATATTTTGAAAGTAATGGTGTTCCAAAATAGTAGTGGTCAAGTTGTTTTTTGAGAGGACTAGCTCTATTCCAAACCTCAAATCTGCTTCTATTTTCAGTTTCACCTCCCAGTTTCTTTAGAAGTTTTTTCGGTGTCCTAATTCTGTTCTCAATGACCTATATAAATTAAAGGAAAAAAGTAAGAAGTATGCTTTAGCTTTAAAAAAATTTTTTGCTAAAGTATGATCAACACAAATTTATTTTAACCAATTATTTATCTAGTGAAGCAGCAACTTATACTTTATTTTAAAAGCTGTATTTTGCTAGTTTTGAAGTCATTAAGATTTCGGTTAAATACTCTACTCAAATTAATGTTTGATTTAATGTACTCTATTGAATGGTCAGTTGAAACTGCACCCAGTAACTTAATCTGAAAGTTAGCCTTAGTCTAAGTAATTTCTAGATTACATTTGGTTAGTTATTTTGTGAGTTTTCTTCATGTTTCTTGTGCTTGGATTGTTGAGCTTCTTGGGTCTGTGAATTTGTAGTTTATATCAAATTTTGGAAATTTTTTACCATTTATTTAAGTACATTAAGAATATGTGTAATGTATTAACATATATTTAATATATATTTATATAAGAATATATAAATGTGTGTGTATCTGTGTGTGTGTGTGTGTGTGTGTGTGTGTTGACCCCCTTCTCCCTTTTGGAAGTCCAGTTAACTGTATATCAGGCTGTTTGATGTTTATTGATGTTCTGTTCAAAGTTTTTTTTTTTCAGTCTTTTCTGCTCTGTGTCATTTTGGATAATCTTGTTATGTGTCTAAATTAATTTGTATTTTTCTCAGTAATGTTTAATCTGCTGTTAATCCCATCCACCATATTTTTCGTTTCAGACATTCTAGTTTCATCTCTAGAAATTCAGTCTTTTTTTTTGTATCTTCCAGTTCCATAGCTTTCATGCTCTGTCCTTTCCCTAGTTCTTGCACTTGTATAATACAGTTACAACTGTATTAGTGTTCATGTCCACAAATTCTGTCTGTGTCATTTCTGGGTTGGCTTTGATTTCTCTTCATTATGGATTAACTTTTCTTGCTTTTGCATACCTGGTATGTTTTGATTGGATGCCAGACATTTTTAATTTTACCTTGTTGGGTGCTAGATATTTTATATTTCATTAAATATTGAACTTTATTCTGGACAAACTCAAGTTCCTTGGAAAGAATTTAATCTTTTAAGTACTTGCTTCTAAATTGTGTTAGGCAGTACCATCTTGTCCCACTATAGTGGCAAAACCTTTCTGAGTACACTGGCTTATGGGAACAGGAACTGTACCTGGACCTGTGTGAGCTCTGGGTGGTCTTCCCTCTCATCCTGTTTGGTGGTGCTGTTCTGCCCTATATACTGGTAAGTATTCAGTTGAAGACTTGTTGGATACCTTCTGCAGGTCTCAGGATCTTCTGTGCGACTCTCTCCTCGAAGGCACTCTGCCTGATATATGACAGTTACCTTGCTGTCTCTAGAGTAGAGTCTCTAGCATCTTCTTAACTCACACCTCGCTTCTCTTCCTGGGTTCCCTATCCCTGTTTTGTGGCCTAGAAATTCTTCCAAGGCAATAAGCTGGGGCAACTGTAGGACTCATCTTGTGTGTTTCTGTCTTACTACAGATCTACTATTCTTTATTGCCTGATGTCCATTTAAAAAATGCTTCATATTTTTTTATTAAGGTATCACTGATATACAGTCTTGTGAAGGTTTCACAGGAGCAACATTGTGGTTACTAGATTCCCCCCATTATTGAGTCACCACCACATAACCCATTACAGTCACTGTCCATCAGCATAGTAAGATGTGATAGAGTCACTACTTGTCTTCTCTGTGCTGTACTGCCTTCCCTGTGCCCCCCTACATAATTTGTGTTAATCATAATGCTTTTTAATCCCCTTCTCCCTCCCTACCCTCCCCCTTCCCTTTGGTAACAGCTAGTCTCTTCTTGGAGTCTGTGAGTCTCCTGTTGTTTTGTTCCTTCAGTTTTGCTTCGTTGTTATACTCCACAAATGAGGGAAATCATTTGGTACTTGTCTCTCTACGCCTGGCTTGTTTCACTTAGCATAATACCCTGTAGCTCCATCCATGTTGTTGCAAATGGTAGGATTTGTTTTCTTCTGTGGCTGAATAATATTCCCCTATGTATATGTTACCCATCTTCTTTACCCATTCGTCTACCGATGGACACTTAGTTAGCTTCCACATCTTGGCTATGGTAAATAGTGCTGCGATAAACATAGGGGTGCATATGTATTTTTGAATCTTGGATCTTGTTTTCTTCAGGTAAATTCCTAGACATGGAATTCCTGGGTCAAATGGTATTTCTGCTGTTAGTTTTTTGAGGCAGCTCCATATTGCTTTGCACAATGGTTGGACTAATTTACAGTCCCACCAGCAGTGTAGGAAGGTTCCCCATTCTTTGCACCTTTACTAGCATTTGTTTTTCCTTGTCTTTTGGATGCTGGCCATCCTGACTGGTGTGAGGTGATATTTCATTGTGGTTTTAATTTGCATTTCCCTGATAATTGGTGATGAAAATGCTTCATGTATTTTGTCTTTTATTTTCCAGTTGTTTTAGACAGGGGGGTAAATCTGGCTCCTGTTATTCTATCTTGGCCAGAAGTGGAAATCTGTTTATGTACTTATAATTACATTTTTGCTCTGCCAGTCTTGTGTTCCTGCTTTCAGAAGTAACATAAAGTTTTATTAGAGGAGCCTTACAATAGGATTTTTTTCATTTAAATTGTTAAGAGTCAAGAGTATTTGTTAACTTAGTGACTCTGGATTTGCCTTTTTGGACACAGAATTTCAGAGTAAAGAGTTGATGTCTTCATACCAGTTTACTTTCTCTGCCTTATAATTTTAGAGTCTGTTCACAAGGTGGGACCTGGATTTCACTGAGTAGCTCCTTGAGTCAAAGAATCTCTGTAAGAGCTTGTGACATGACATTAGTCCTCTTTAACTAATGGGAAAGGGAAGCTATTTAGAGATCTGGAATGATGGGCCAGCTCTACTGCATGCTACAGGGCATTTTCCTTCTTCAGTGGAATGAAATCTTTTTTCAGTGCTAGTTATCAGACATAGGGCTTGGGGAGAGGGAAGTACAAGTAATCATCTTGTTTGAGACGTCATGCAGTTCTGTAATCAATTTTGAATACTACTTGCTGTGAGTTTTTTAAGGGACTTGTGACATTATAGTTAATTTTATAATCCTAGTTTAAAAAGGATGCTATTCATATTACC